GGGTGCGACACCACGGAGCCGTCCCCGGCCGAGGCGGCGAGGTAGCTCGCGATCCGTGCATACATAATTTAGCAGCGCGCTATTAAACACTTCCAACTTTCATCATTACTCGGGAAATCTCATTAAATCTCATCTATACAGTGTGCAGCGATTGCTCTGTCAAAACCCCGCTTATTGTTCCCTTCCAGAGCCATCCTCACCCTCAAGAGAAATCCCCGCCGAGGCCCCGGCCTGCTATGATGCCTCTAATTTGCGAGCGCTCTTTTGTGCGAGAATGAACTGTCCATGCAAATTAAGTTTTGTCATTAATCATATTAACACGTTGCTGTCACAGCCTCCTCTATTCACCCTCCCCTCCCGGCCTCCGCTCCCCAAGACACCGCAAACACACACAAAGGCACACACCCACCACGCGGCTCCTCACTGCTGTTTCTCTCCCACGCGCAATCCCGTCTCCGCTGGCCAGCCTTGAACCGCAGGCTCCGTCGTGCACACTCACCTCAGACGAACCCGGCCCGGATGCTTTGCCTGATCAGGGACACGACGGGACTATCACCTCCTGAGGTGAGCCGGCCATTCAGTTTTTGGACAAGTTAAGAGTGAGGCTCCTGCTAGGGAAAAGGGAGATGGAAGAGAGCTGGATCATGCATAAGGAACATATGGCAACTTGCAGTTAGCAGAAACCCTCCCAAAAATGATCATATTGCTCCTGGGAACAAGGGAGGCAGGAAAGGAATTAAAAGATGTGAGCCATGCTTGTTCCCCCACTCCCTTAGCGCGCTCCAATGCAGCAGGCGTTACAGGCACTCTTCCCTTGTGCTGCAGCATGCCCTACTGTGCCTGCCGTGCTCTCACGCTTGCTGATGAGGACAGGCAGGGCCCTTGTGAGCTGCTCCAGCTTCCTGCCCGGTAACCGGCTATGGTGGTCCTTCTGTGGCTTGTAGGATGCCTCAGCTCTGATCTCCAGGCTATGAGCAAGTGCAAGAAGAGACATTCCGCTCCTTGGCTCCCCATGCTGTTTGACGAGCTGTTCCCTGTCACCTCAAGGTCCACAGCAAGTCATAGCAGAAATGGACCAGCTAGAGGGAACTGCTGCAATTGGAACTTTTAATTTAGGCCCTTGAGCCTCACCCAGAAATCTTTGCATCAAGTCACAGCTTCTATGCAAGTCACAGATAACTTTTGCATGATCTGAAGACTTCAAGTGACAGAAAATTCACACCACAGCTAAGTTATTCCAACAGTTAATTAACCTCACTTTAAACACTGCACCTTATTTCTAATCTGAATTTGTCCAGCTTCTGCTTCCAGGCATCTGATCTCATTAGGCCTTTTTCTGACAGATGAAAGTCCCCTCTGCTATCAGCTGTCACTGCCCACATTTGGTACTTGCAGCCTGTAATCAAGTCACTGCTGAACACTGTCTTTGCATAAGCTAGATGGAGCTTCTTTAGCCTCTCCCTGGAAGGTTTTGCACTATTAAATCAGTCATGCAGCTCCTTTCTACATCACTGCCAATTTCTCAACCTCAAATTTTTCGAAATGAACATCAGAACATGATGTTGTATCCATAGATGATCTTATTAATACCACAGAGGCAACAAACCTTCCAGCTTATACCTAATCTTCCTTCCTGATATAGCTTACTAGTCTTCCCAGCTAGTGGGACACAAGGACAAGTCAAGTGCTTAAAGGGCTCAGTTCTGCCCATCTTACTCACACTGAGTAATACTTTCACCAGGTAGTAAGGCACTACGCAACCTGAGTAAGGACACAAAGTTGTGCTCATACAACATGAGACCATTCTTCCAGTGCAAGAAAGCAATATGTTTCTATGCTGGGCCCAATTCCTGTATCTTTTACTCCCAGACGTTTACTTTCCTGCTACATTTACTTTCCTACAGGTATCATTGAGGGAGGCCTGTTCACATCAGCCTCGCTAGTGTAAGGCAAACTGAAGTGAGAAGGCTCTTTGGACATGAGAAAGTTAGCTAAGCGAGGTGGCACCAAACTACAAGTGCGTTCCCTCACTTCTAAGAAATCCAGGAACGTAGCCTAAAATTCAGTTAACATTGGGAGGCTGCAGCAGTTCCCAGCACCTCTTGGACTCCAGCAGACTCACAACAGGCTTCACCAGCAATTTTTGAAGTGTCAAGGCAAAACAAACCCTCTCATAGTGCCTTTTTATAGCATCACATTTTAGCCTCTGCTGGCAGCTGCTCAGCCTGTCACAGCTACTCAGCCCTTTCTACAGGAATATTTCCAAACCTTACGTTTAACGGCAACTGGAGGAAGATGGGGAGGGAAGAAAACAATACTGATGAGAGCTAAAGGAAATAAAACCCATAGCCTCCTAGAATGGGAGAACTGGACTACTCTTATATCCACATAGCATGAGGTATCCACCACCCCAGCACCTCGGCCATATGCACAGACATCTTATATTATATATGTTTGTGGGGAAACGGTTGCTTCTGTCTTCAGCAGCATTTGGAGTTCTCTCTAGGGTGTGTTTGCCTGCATTGACTCCTTTAGAGATGAAAATAGACCCTGTATTCACTCTGGACACGTTAGAGTAGTGTGTGCTGGGCAGTCAGTAGAAACATGCTTAACCCACCCTAATGTCCATCCTCTTCAGTTTCTGCCACAGAGTGAGACTCATGAATCGGGTGCAAAATGGGTCCTCTGCTGGCCAGCCTTCTTCAGTTGGACTCACTTTTAAGTGACGCTTTGTGGCCTCTAAGTTTATTCCAGCGGGGGCTAGGCCACTCAGCAGCAGTTAACAGTAGCAGACAGAATCAGAAACCAAATTCAGCCAAGGGACTGCAGATCAGAAGCAGAGGAGTGCTGGAAGCTCTCAACACAGGATAAGGAGGAGTTGTCCTTTAAATGAAACCTGTTGTCTCCTCCACTGAGAAGGAATAGACAGTCAGGTGTCTGTCTGCTCAAGACCTGATGCAATGCAAACTACAGAGGCTAGGCCAAGCCCCCTTCAAGGAGAGAACAATAACTTCTTCAAATACGCCGACTCCAGCACCTGCAATCCCTAGAGCTCACAATTTTCAAATGTATTTGCATGGCAAGTAAAACTAGTCTCATAAATGAAACAGATGAGTTACATTGGCACAAATTAAGTGATCGCTTGCACTCCAGAAGTATAATCTCTGTGTATGATGGAGATAATCAAAATGAAGTAGATTCTCTTTTAGAAATTAATTTTTTTAGGAAAACGTTTTAGAACCTGCTCTCTCAACTCAAACTGAGTCAACATCTTTCCTCCAAGAATAATCCCACCAAGATCAACAGGACTATTCAGAGAGTAAAGTGCTATTCTAGCAGTAAAGCAGAGGCAGGATAGAGCCTTTTC